AACTGGCTATTTAATTCATTCTGGAATTTTCTCTTAATCTAATATTAAGAACTTTTATAAATATTAAATAAACTTCCAGTTTCTGATATAGAAAAATATTTGTGGGAAAATATTCTGTGGCAGTTGAGCAAAACAAGTATAGTTGGGTGCTACTGTTGGTATGCTTTGAAGTGACAAACCTAAATTTCTTTGTTTTTCACTTGAGTCACATTTTAACTTGAATTGCACATCAAGATGGTTAAGTAACAATGCCAGGGCCTAGAGAGCGTGAGGTATGTCTGTGTCTGTGCATGGAGATGTGGTTTTCTATGACTCTGAATAGATTTGTGACAAAAAATATTAAAATCACATTCTTTGTGTCCTCAAATACTATTTACTCACTGCAAATTAGGAGCGAATAGAAAATATTAAATAATTATCTTCCTTTAGTTGGATGTTTTAAGAAGAAAATGGTGGCTTGGGAAATACCACAGACTTACATTTGGACCTACAGGATGACTGTGGTGGACCTGTGCTTGCAGTGATAAAGAACTGCATGAACCTAAGACCTTCTGTCAATAGAATATGAGAGCTGTAGGTTTCTATTTTATTGTTTAAGACTCTTTTATCTTCATTGTGAGGCTCCCTTCTTCTATCTGTGCCTATTAAATTAGCAGATATTCCGGTATGATGATTTCTCAGGTTTGTTTTTGGTTTTTGAGACAGGGTCTTACTGCGTAGCCCAGGCTGGCTTCAAACTCCTACTGATCCTCTTGCCTCAGCTTCCTGGGTCCTGGGGTTATAGGCATGTGCCACCATGTATGGCTGTCAGAAGTGGCTGTTTATTGAAAATTGGGGGAAATTCTTGAGGCTTAATAAAATTTCTTTTAGTAAATACAGGAGAATGGAAAAGAAATGAGTGAGGAAAAAGGGAAGAGAGGCATGAACACTGTATCATTCCCAAACTGTCACACTATTATTGCCTACAAAGCTGGAAGTTTTTTCCCTTGGATCTTGGACTACAGCGTTTCCTACTTCTCAGGCTGACTCCCTCTTAGGAATGAATGAATGCTTGATAAACTCTGTGAGGAGGGGTGCTGATCCTTGATGTAAGAAATCTTGAGCAAAAAAAAGAACTGAGTTTAAATGTCAGTTTGTTTCTGACTCACTATGTGAAGAGAATGAATCACACACTAGCTTGAATCACCCAGCTCTACAGTCTGGGGTGTGGCACTAAAGAACACAGCCAGATTTCCATATATTATACAGTTGAGTATGCAATTGATAATCAGTTTCACCAGAATAGAAACACATCTATTAAGTGTCTAATTGTGCACATGATTTGAAAACATTCAGAATATGTAGGCTAAATATTAAAATAAACACATACTTGTTAAGGTTTCATTAAACAGGTAAGATCTATTATTATAAAAAGAGAGGAGGTTTACTATGCATTAATTATCAGGTTACCAAGCCCTTGGCATATGTGGTAGGAATGCTCTCAGCTGGGCATGATGGAACTTGCTTGCATTTTCTAGTATCCTGGGAAACCAAGGCAAGAAGATCACAAGTTCAAGCCCAGCCTGGGTAACTCAGCAATATCTTGTCTTAAACAAAATAAAAATTTAAAAGCCACTTTGATTTACTATCTGAAGCAGAAATATGGCTATATGAGGCTGTTTGGTTATGACAAAGAGCTTAATCTCTAGAAATTGACTCATAATGTCTTCCTACTTTTTTTCTGTAATCAAAGTCACAGATAAAGGAATCTATCCTTTAGCACCCGCCAACAATAGACTTGGATGTGTACTATATGAGTACTATAAGACTAGAGTATTATTTTAAAATAAAATTTAAATTAGCTGGGTGTGGTACACATCTGTAACTCCAGCCTATGGGAGGCTGAGGCCACAAGTTCAAGGCCAGCCAGGGCTACATAGTGAGTTTAAGCCCAGCCTCAAAAAAGTGTTTTAAAAATAATTTTATGGTGCAGTAGTTCTAACTATACCTATTTTAGTTAGCTATAAAAGATCAAAGGGGAAGAAAGATAATGAACATTTATCAAGTGCCAGTGTTGTGCACCAGGCACTCATGAACTCAGTCATATATATCATTATTAATGTTCACAGGACCTTGGAATAGGTGATATCTTCAGCAAACTGAGGCTCTTATGCTGCGATGACAGAGGTAGGATGAACACATGGGTTTGTTAGTTTATGACCTGTCCATGAAGTCACTTAGTCAAAAAGACAAACCAAAAAACTTCAAATAAGGTTAGATTAATGGAAATGAGGCAGATTTCTTTTGGTTTAGATGCAATTCATATCTTCAGGAGTAAAGCCTTAATAAAACATACTTTTGAAAGATGTTTGTATTCCACAAGTTTGATGACTTTCAATTCATTGTGGAAGATGATAAGTTCTGATAATTGAGAGCAGAAGGAGGTGCAGCAGGATATTTTGCATTAACAATATGTAAATTACATGTAATAATTTTCTTGAGTCCTATTGTTTTTGCAAACGATTTGTAAGATCAATATTAAAGTCTGTTATCCCTGTTCTATCTAGTTAGTAGGGATACTGTAAAGCTATTAAAGAACCTTATGTTTAGGAAGACTGTTATAAAAGAAAAAGTTTATTATTACTGACCCCACCTGTGTTCCTCTGGTTGTTCATACCTCATTTACTGCCTCATTATTTTGCATCCTAATAATTTTTTTTACCCTACTGTCTACCAGGTGAGTTCTTTCAAGATAGGGCCCATCTCTCATTGTGGTATCTGTAATATCCTGGATAGTACCTAAAACACAGTAGGTGTGCAGTCAATATTTATTAAATAAACCATAATTTTTTTTGGTCTTTTTTTTTTTTTCATTTTTTTTATCGGTACCGGGGATCGAACTCACGACTGCCTGCTTGCAAGGCAGGCGCTAATGCCGCTGAGCTAAATCCCCAGCCCAAATAAACCATAATTAGATTCACCTTTCTGGTCCCTTTCCCTCCCCCCGCCAAATTAGAAAACAGTAATATTTTCATAGAATCAGGAGTGTATTAAGACTTGCTCATATAGCTTTGACCAAGAATGTGTGTCCCAGCATAAAAGGTCACTAAGATCGCTAGTAAAGCAGTAACTATTTTGTACAACATAAAACAGTGGTTAACAGTTTTAAAAATATAACTAATATATTTAGGAAAAGAATTGTAGGGTTTTTGAGGTATTGTGTAGCAGCGATCTCCACCCTCGGGCTTTCAGGGTTGAAGAAAAAGGATGATATAGCAGAGATAAGAACAATCACTAGGTGGCTCCCTTTCCTGCCAGTGGGCGGCGCGTCCCTTGTTGCCAGGCGGGGCCACTGGGGGCCCTGTACTGCCGCAATCGCTGCGTGTCATAGCGCATCATACTAGGCGCTAGTTTGCAGCGGGAGTGGGGGGGGGGTAGTTCACTCTGTTTCGTTAATGATCACCTGCCCTTGGCATTTATGTCAAAGTAGATAGTACGTGATGTTCCAAATACACAGTTTCGCTCTTAATAGGTAGGGTCTCTAAAAACGATTTTGAGCGCAACTCTTTAGCTAGCATAGAATGACAGCAAGAACGAGGTGCCCAAACCAATTGAGACTTTTGATTTGAATTAACAGTGAGTTACATTTCTGAAGGATCTTATGCCTTTGCTCATCCTAAAGTAGTTTGAGATAGCTGCTTACCTGATTCCATAAAAGTCAAATTCATAAAATGCCAAGTAATTCTTTCAAGTCACTAAAATGACTTCTTCAGCAGTTTCTCATATATTCTGTATCACTGATCCCATTGTTTATATTTCTGCGTTTTAACCGCAAGCCTGACACAAAATGCGCATAAGACATTCAAAAATATTTGTTCTATTAAGATCTGCCTTCAACAAGCAAAGTCTCCACCGTGGTGGGGGTGTCTCTGCAAGCCCCTCTATTAGTCCTGGATTCTGGGTGCTCGAAAACCACTTGTGAGCCTTTTGCCAGGTGTCTCTATCCTCACCTCTACCGGCAGGCTCCCGGAAGCTCAGCAAGGAGGGTGTGTGGGGAGGGGGTGCGGTGGGGGGATTGGGAAGGGGTAGACTCGCCAGGGAAAGTCGGACGTCCTTGTTGGCAGGAGGGCTATCTATTGTCGTGTGCCGCTCTCCTCCCTGAGGGACCCCATCCGGTTGGGATCCCGCCTTCCTGAGCCCGAGGCAGTTGTGGGGAAACCCCTCGCCCTTCCTTGCACCCCAGCGCCGCGCCTCGCCCTCGCTTTCCCGCACCACCTGCCAGCCTTCAGGCCTTGCATCTTCTGCATAAGCCCGGCCCTCTCCACACCTGGCTCTGAGCGAAAACTATGGAGGTGGTTCCTGCCCACGGGCAGGTGGAACTGCCAACGGTGAATGCCTCAGGGTGTCCCCCAAACTTGCTGCGGGAAGGGGGAAGGGGCAAGGGAGGAAGAAGTGGATTTCACTGCCCAGGAAAATCACGGTTCTTAAATCTTAAATTAGGGGAGGTGTTGAGATGGATAGGAAGCTAAGGGGGAATCCAGGGAAATCCATTAGCCAAGCAGAGGGTAACCCAGGCGGCACACACCGGTTACTATGACAATACAACCGCAGCTCAAGTTGCCATGGCAGCTACGTATCCAATCCGATTGGTTTCCTTTCTCTTCCTCTTGGGCTCCACCCTATTCCCTCCAAAAGTCTCCCAGCGTGCATGGGGAGGGCACCCGTGGAGAGCGAGGCCTTCACATCACTCTTCAGTGGACGAGGGCAGACAAAAATCAAGGGACTGGCGGGTGGAACTATAGAAGGAAGGGGCGGTGTTTCCGGTGGGGAAGAGAGGAGAAGTGAAAGGCGGAAGAGAAAAAGTGTTGGGGGGGGTACAGACGGGGGAAGACTTTAAGTGTAACTCCCAGTTGATTTGGGCTAGATGTTCCTGGTGAGGCTGGGGTTATCCCCTTGCGTGGGAGGAGAGGGGTGGGTTGGCAAGAAGCCGCCAAGCGCAACCACAAAGGCTCTCAGCGTCGGCCAACGTGCCACACACCCGGCTGACTCGAAGACGGACCTGTGCCGAGTGGCGGAAATCACCCGGAGGGACCGGCGCTCTTGAAATCTCGCGAGAAAGACCTCTCCCACTTCCTTCCTCTGATTCTCCCTCCTCTTTCCCCTGCCCCCTCCCTTTTCCTATTCCCCTTCCCCCTCCCGGGTCGGAGTGTGTCTGCGCCCCAAGAGCCAGCAGTAGCTAGAGCAGCTTTCCTCACTCCCTCCCCCTCGCCTCACTCATCGCCCCCCCCCCCGCCCCGCCGAGCGAGGAGGAGCCGGAGGAGAGAAAGATGGCGGCGGCCGCCAGCACCCGCGGTGCCGCGGGGCCGCTCCGAGGAGCCTAAGAGACCCACGGAAGCTTCGCGGGAAGACGCTGCGGCGGAGGATGAGCCTGCAGAGCGCGCAGTACCTCCGGTGAGTACTGAGGCCGGCCTGGGACGTGGCGGAAGCGGGCGAAGGGTTGGGGTTTGGAGCGACAGACCTAGAGGTGTTATGTCCGGAGTGGTGGGGGAGTCGCTGTGTCCTCTCCTTTCTGGGTAGGAAGGCAGGGGCTGCGAAGGGATCGGCGGGGCGGGGTGGTCACGCACTCGCTTGCATGGGTGCTTCGCACCCGCCGGCTCGGCCAAGCTCCACAGTAGCCGGCCAGTCCCGGTGCGAGGAGGAGGTTGGGGAAGCGTGAGAATGTGTGTGTGCGCGCGCCGGGAGTCTCCGGCTCGCCTGCGAGAGGTGGGAAGAGGCGCCCGTGGAGGCGGCGGTGACCCGCAGTGGAGGTGGGTGTGGAGGAGTCTGATCCCGCCGCAGGGGTGAGGTGGTGTGGCGTGGTATTGGCTGGAACGTTGCAGGAGAGGACCGTGTGGAAGTCAGCACACCTGGGGGAGGGGGGGTGTGCACCGGAGGCGAGGAGACCGCCGGAAGCCAGAGCTTGTTCTTCATTCGCAGGTTGGGTGTACAGAGGAAATAATGTCCTCTCTGGTTAGTTGGCGAAGTCGGGGGAACATGAAGAAGGGAATGGATGGGGAAATGAAGAAGGAGGGAGGTACGATGGACAAGGTTGTGTTCTCGAGAAAAAAAAAACTGGGCTAAAAACAGTATTGGGAGATACCATTTTTAGAGTCGTGTTCATCAAGAGTGGTGTAAGGAGCTTGTATGTCAGAGGTAGTCTGACGCATGGGTACTATGTGTATGCTTAGGAGACATGTCTGGGTTAGAGGGAGGACAGCGATTGGTGCACATTTCAGAAAGAAGATCCGGATACTTTGGGACTTGGTACCTGATGGTGAGAACATAAGACACCAGCTATTGTGCAGCCAGAAAGGTTCCATGAAGCTGCGTAAGAGCTTAGAAGTAAAGTTAGTATAAAAAATCTTGATGGCAGAGAAAAGGCTATTGAAGCTTGAGATTAATTGGGGGAATTGCTTCATAAAAACGATTTAAAGCTATTTCTTTTCATCCTTCAGAAACAGAGCTAAGAAAGGCAGGCCTTATGGGAAGTTTTTTTTTTTTTTTTTTTTTTTAAAGGAGGTTTCATACCTTGCAGAGGAGGGAACTGGGTGGAATAGAAATCTAAACTGAGAAGAAAGGTCAGTTGGCTGTTTAGTGAAGTGAAAGTATTGATGTGTGAGAGAAGGGGTATAGTTAGGAAATACACACCGTGGCTACTATACTTTAGAAAGTATCAATACTTTTATGCAGAGTGTGAAGAGATTAGAATAAGATCTTTGAACTATGCTTAGACGTCTCAATATAACATAACACAAATGCCAATGACAATAGTAAAATTGGAACTGGTGGAGCCTACTTTTTCCCTGTATTATTTAATGTCTGATGAAACTTAAAAAATATAACAGAGACAAAGATTTATAATAGATGCTGTAGGAGATATGAAAACCATCAAGACAATTTCTAAAAAAATTGCTGTTTAGTTTCTATTAGGCAAGTAAATTAACAATGTAGAGTACAGTATGGTAAATACCATAGAAGATAGCAAGTGTTATGAGTCCAAAGGCACGAGATTATTTTACAATTGGGGAGAACCACGAAAGGCTTCCTTTGCTCTTCATGATTCATTAGTTGTTTGGTTGATCACCTGCACAGGAGTCATTGTACCAACTAAGAATGCAAGTAAGAACTCCACCTTCCTCTCACAGAGCTTACAGTTTGTTAAGCTTTAAAGAGAGCACACTACTTAAAATGAACTTGAAGAATGAACTATTATTCTGACAGGTGTGAATTAAGATTCGATGTGGAAGGAAACATGTGGATAAGGAAGTTGGAGAGGATTCAGTTAGACAAGAATGTAGAGTAATACAGCTGGAAAAGCTTAGATACAGTTTTCTTAGGTGTGACTCTTGAAACAGACTAAGAAAGTTATGCAAAGAAGTTAAAATTGTTGAGGATCACATCTAGTACTGTGCTACACGTCTCTTCATTCTTTCCACAAATATGTATTGAGAACTTAACGTATTCCGGGTGCTGAGGATATATGAGTTAATAAAAGAGGGAACATGGAAAGAATTTCTGTAGCAGAAGGACATAGTCAAGGAGCATGAATATGTGCTTGTCAGGTGGTCACAAGTGTTAGGAAGTGAAATAAGTATATACTTTTTATAGAGACATCATATAAAGGGAAACTTTGATAAGGTGACCATATTTAAGGTATTTCTGAATATATATTTCTAGCATATAGAGTTAGTGTATTAGGAAAGTTACTCTTTATGTGATATAATAGTGGATACTTAGGGCTATAGAAATAAGGTCTGAGCAGTCGGAGTAGAAAAGTGATGGGTTGGAAGAGTGATAGAGTGGTGGTACTTTTAATAGACAATCGTGGGCTTCTGTCTAATATGTCTTCCACATCATAAGTCAGCATGGTGAGGAAGATTTTTCCTTAGGCTGTGGAATCAGTGGTAGACAGCCTGAGATGAATTTAGATTTTTGAAGAAGAGACAAAAGGAATGAACACAATGTTAAAATAACTTGTCTATTTCCAGCTGAAATTGAATAACCCAAAAGGGGCCACAGAGGACTTGGAGTCCACTTAAGGTTCCTGGGAAACAATCTTGTGCCTCTGTTATAAGTAAATAAAACGGGTCTTAGGGATTATAACAATCTGGAACTGAGGAGTCAAAAAATAAAAGGCTTCCACCAACCTCATCTTCCCTTTTTTTCTCTGGATAATCATTGCATTAAAAGGCTGTTCAGAGGTGACTGGAGAATGTCTTCAGGAAATATTATGTTTACTTTAAAATAGAATTTCATTTTTATAAAATCAAGGAAGCTGCTGGGTTTGCTTAATGAGTGTTGTTGGAAGTATAGCAGTTATTTGTGTCCTTGATTTAAGGAGTTTTGTTCACCTGCCTTTTTCAGTTTGTAAAGCCATGACTGGGCAGTTTTTACACTGCGTAGCTATAAGTCTTCCCTCACGTGGATCACATAGATGAAACTTAGTTTTCTCGTAGCTGAGTTTTAATTTCTTAAAATGAATGAGTTGGGGCGCCTGGCATTAAAATTGTGAAGTGATGGCAAGCCAGGGAATCAGATGGCAATTTCAAGAAAGAGAGAAATGAGGATATGAAGTAAGAAGGCTCAGCAAGACTGAGAGAGAGTAAATTCAAGGGATAGAATTAGTTTCAAGTTGTAGAAATAGAGCAGAGGTGAACGAATGAAAAACTGTGTCAGAAAGAGGTGATGTTCTGGAGAGAGGAGTTTTTATTGTTAGAAGGGAATGTTATTTTTTAAAAATAGTAAATTGATATGCCTGTCCAAATGAAAGAGTTAAAAATACTTTCTTAAATTTTATAATGATAAAGAGTGACCTTAAATGTGAAAGTTAGTTCTAGGCTAAATACATATGGGAATTTCTTAGTCAAATTTGAAGAGAAAATGTATTTTCTCTTTTGATTTATGACAACACGAGAGATTTTAAAAAGCTTTGGCATCTCTTGAGTAGAAAAGAAAATGGTAAATTGACTGTAGTTAACTTGGTGGGGGTGGGAGAAGGGTAAGGATAGGGTATAGATGAGATAGCACATGAGATATGCTTCAGAAGAATGACATTTTGAAACAATAGAAATAAGGAAATTAACATATCAAAGAGGGAAAAGCTGGGGTGAGGAAAGTATTAAAATACCAGACAGAGAAGATGTCATCAAAGTTGTTTCCCAAGGCAAGAGAGTAGAATAATCTAGCCTTAGGGAGTACCATCCAAACAAGTGAAATCCTATTATGAAAGGCGGCACAGGTGCCATTCATCTCTGCTGCTATTGTGGGAGGCAGTGTTCACATATCTGTTCTTCCCCTAATTTTCTTCCTTTCTTTCCTTCGCTGTTCTGTTTGTTTGTTTGTTTGTTTGTCTTTAATGTCTTTGGTATTAGGTACCTTTATAGGAAAGGTCCACAAATTTTTTTTTTTGGGGGGGGATCCTTTTCAGTGATAAGTCTGTAGTGAAAAGGCACCTTTCCAGGGATACACTTCTTTGTCAGAAACTTTTGTTACCAGAAGTAAAAATACTGTAATGTCCACAGACTTTTCTGAGACTGTAGAGAAATGGTTGTCATTCAAATAGGAATGAAAATATGCAGTATACAATATTGTAGGATAAAACGTGTGCCTGTAAATTTTGGGGTGAGGCTGAATAAAGTAATAGGCCAAGTCTTGTTAATAGCCTGAGTTGGAGAGCAAAGAGAATAGTGAAAGCCTTGAGAGACACATATAACCAAATAGCAATAGATGTTCTCCCAGGTTCTAGAAAAATAGAATGATGCTGGGTCTGATACTGTCTCCTGAACCTGTGAGAAGTCCTATAGCACACCCTACTTTTAATTAATGTGGTCCACTAAGTCATTGGCTCCCTTGCTCCATTCCCTTTGCCCCACTGTGCATTTCCTTTATAGAATGTAGAGTAGCTTTGGTTCTAGAAAATCAGTCAAATGTGGCTGATTTACCATATATGGTAAAATTATTTGAAATAAATTACTATCTCTTGAGACTTTGTTATAACGATTGTAATAGTTAGTGCATTACCTACTTGGATATTGACTAGCTAAATTATTTTTGCAGTTAATTTTTGCTTCCTTTGTGGTTTCAGTTGGATTTAAAGTGCATACTTCCTGTTTTAGCCTGTGTTTCATTTCTTTGTTAAAAAACAGCTCTGTTGTTTTCTACCTGATAGCGATTGCTGAGGTGTTTGTTGTTGTTTTTAGTGGAGTATTATAATAAGATCTGGAGCCACCAGTATAGCAAGTTTTAGGCAGTGTTAGGGTGGAGAGTAGTGCCGACTTTCAAAGGGCTAGTTCATTTTATACTAGACTAAAACTATTTTCAGTCTTCAACTACATCTCTAAGCCTGGCTAGACCTTCAGGCTTTTGTTGTAAGAGGCATGAATGAGTGCTTGAAAGTTCAGATGGCTTAGTTT